CTCAGGCTGGTTTCGAACTCCTGAGCTCAAACAATCCACCTGCCTCGGCCTCCCAGAGAGCTACGATTTTGCCTTCTTAAGACTGGCTCTCCACCATATATCTTAATATCTAGTCAGTCTTGCCTTAAGGAAAAAAAAAAAAGCAAGTCTTATTCTGATGCCAGAAATTCAGCCTCAACTCTCAGGATCACATCAGGTTCTTTGAGCTCATACTTTTGGAACACATTAACAACCTTGCAAGGAAGTTAAAATAATGGCATACAGTATGAAAGCTATCTGGACAGATAATGAATAATTTCACATATTTATCATCATTCTCACAGTCATTCCTTTGAACATTAAGCTCTTCAATTTCATTCAATACCATTCTCTCCATAATTTACATGAGCTGGATTCATAACAATCAAATGCAGAATGCCCTTAATTTATTCTCTTTTACAGATAAAAGTCAGCTCATGAAAGCTTATTTATGTTTACTTGGCGGGGGAGGGGGTGGTACACAGGGGAGGGTGAGAACCAATGAATGGTTCTTTCAATTATCCTCATTCAGACTTTCGCTGTGCTGGTTCTGAACGGAGGAGGACAGCTGGGGTGGCCAGACTGATGGAAGGATGACAGCATGTTTGAATTTTAAATATCATCAGGTGTAATAAGATTAGGTAGTATTTGTTTTAGAGTACAACATGCTCGACAATTCACTTAGTACAGTATCATTCCCATGATCACCCACACATCCGTGGCACTGAATGGAAAATTTCTAACAGAGAATTAAGAGAAGCTGGAAACATGAAAACATCAGGTTTGTTAATACAGACACTCCCAGTTTACACGTTTTCAAGTCTGCCGTGGTGAATTTCTTGCACTGCCATATAATGAAAATAAGTTTCCTCTGTGTACATTGTTTGGAAATATATTGATATTCTAAGATTGTAAGAAGTGTTTTTTTCATGTTTTTATACAAAGCTTAGTCTGTTTCTCCTTCCCCTCTCTTTGGAATCATCATCACCTGTTGGTTCTCTCTTCTTAAGCCTCCTTTTATGGTAAGATCCCATCCTCCCTGCTCCCTCAATATCTGCCGCCAGACAAGAACATATGTCATTTTCATTCAAATTAATAGATCTAGTTAATGGGCCTCTTACCTATTAGAAATCATGACATATGAATTATGATTATTTGGGGGTAATGTTTTCTGATCTTGATTTCCTTTATTCCTATAAAAAAATCAAATACATCTTTTAATTTTATTTGATTACTGGGGAAATTAATTATGTTA